TTTACAGACCTTACTACAATGAGAGAGCACATGGCACAGGGGTTTACATGGCAACGCTGGGTTTAGGCATATTGATAGGTATGAGAAACATTCTCAGAATGAGATGTTTCTGTGAAGTCGAATGACATTGTGACATTTCAGACTTGAGTACCACTATGTACTAAGTGCTATTCTCAACCTGCAACCCCAAGACATATTATTGACTGTATTGGCTCATCCATTGATGAGATCTTCCCTTCCCCGGCAGACACCATCAAAAATCTCAAGCATTACAAGCTTGATACCTTAGTGTGATTGAGTGGAGATAAGAAAGAAGAAGAAGACTTGAGTAGGTTTTCTTTCCATTCAGCGACGGTTCATATTGCTGAATTATGTGGTTAATGCATCTATTTTATTAATAATTTGTAATACGGGGTAGAACCTCCCTTTAGCGGACACCTCTCTACAAAGGACAGTTTTCATTTGCAAAATTACCATTTTTACTATTTAGTAACTCTCCAGTAAGAGTACACCTCTCTCTAAAGGACACTTTGGTTCTGAAATTAGGTATATTTTACTGGGAGGTAGTTCTACTGTATTGTTTTCATATATGTTATAAATTCAAATATTGAAATTTTATATTTATTCATTACAATATATAAACAGATTATGTATTTTTAATTTTTTTAATTAAAAATACATATATTGGATCAAAATTTCATTTATTTTGCCAATATTTCGGTTGGCGGAACGCCAACCTTTATCAAGGTATCATAACATATTTATTATGTATTATATATTATATTAGATTATGTATTATAAACAGAATACGTACTATAAAAAGAACAATTTGTATTTTGGTACACTATGACTATACAACTCTTTAAACTTTGATGTGAGAAATAAATAATTCTGGAGGCTACTTAAAGTTAACACATTATTCCCTTATATAACATTGTAGGATGGTTGTAACATGTTCTGATATGTCTGAGGAGAGAATCAAGATTGAAGAATCTGCCAAACAGCAACCTGGTGTAATAGTATATAGGTGGTAAACAAAAAGAATGGATGCTGAAGTGAAGCTTCACAGATCCAGGGAGGAATTCGAGCCCGGTAACCATGCTACATAAAAGGCTCGGTATTCTTTCCCGATACGGCCAACATCCGCTGTCTCCGTTAATGGCGGAGGTATTCCCCTTTGTTTACCATATGTAAACATTTTATCGAATTAAGACTGATTAATTATGAATTGGACCAACTAAGTGAAGAAGACCAACAAACATTCAGTTCACATTCTCCTTCAATAATGAATGATTTTTTTAAGAAAAAGAATGATAGATATATGTTTTCTAATACTAGTGATCACTTTCGTCTCTTTTTCCCTCCAGGTATCCCAAAATATTTCTGACCTGACTTTTGCAATGTACAATTCGTTACCAACCATGGAAACTTCGGAGATTTTCTGTTTCCAATAGGAGCTATAGATGATCCAGGGTGTGGAGGCAGGATTCCAGTCACCTGCTTATTGAATGTCTTCCAGAACTACAGAAATCTGGAAGACATTGAATACAAGGATCTTTTTTATGTTTATAAACAGTAAGGAATCATATTTAAAATTTAGGAAATTTTATAAATATATCTATGATTTTCTCTCTTGGTTAAAAAAACCTTAATTTCTAACTATATGTATATATTTGTATCTTCAGTGCTGCGTATATAAGCAGAATCGTCCAATACAGTATTAGAGCTCTGAGAAGCGGTCTGGTGGATTAAATTGGCGAAACCGCTGGGAGGGTTCACCGCTTATGAACCAAGCCCTCCCAATATATTTTTTCATCGCAGTAAGGGTAATAGAAGTTTGTATTATGTATAAAAGAAACATTCTTGCTTTTAAATTCTTTCATTTTATATTTGTATCCGTTTCGTTGGTTATTATTATTATTATTATTTTGGTTTTCAATTGTTTCTGTGAAATAGTTCTCTGGGTGTTGTTACTTGACGCAAGCATCCTTTGTGGGGATATCTCGTCTGATTTGATAATAAATAAATATGTAAATACAGAACTGACTTTATAGCTGTATGTATGTAACACACAGACATACAGACTTCTGTCTAGGTAGCCCAGTATCCCATGATGCGCTAAGGAACTGGTGTACAGACTACTTTGAATATATTGTAACAAAGTACTATTTTATTATCAGAGTATTATTTTTTATGTTTATATTTTGATATACTCTGTACACTTCCCTCTTTTGCTTATCTTTCGTTTATCACTCATAGTTTGTTCTTGACTGAAATAAATTGTTGTCTCATCCCTAAGTTGGTCTTCCCTAATTTTCCAAGTGGCAATATATAATCCCAAATGATTTTTTTCAAATAGAAACATAGTATAAATATAACTATGGCTCAAACTGTAGAATATATTTGAGGAGAGAGCTTCTATATAAATGGAACATAAAAACTTGAAGTTAATGGACTCTCCTCAGAGTATTGACAATGGTAAAGAAGCGAGGTTCAGAAAGTTGAGGTCGAAACAGCCTTAAAAACCGACGAGATAAACGAGGAAGTGATTGGGTGAAAAATCCGTTTGAAAGATGGCCTTATTGATTGGAAGGTGTTCAGGTTTCAACGTGGGAAAGTGGAAGGCTCTTAAATAGACAAACATCAACATTCTAACGTGCCTTTGATTTCACAAACTCTCTTTCACTGCCATTTATAGAGGACAGAAAACATTCGAACTTATAGAACTGTTTGAATCAAAAGACGATTCATCAAATAAGTTTATAAATAAGGACGTACCTCTAGATCTGTAAAGAAAAAAAGAAAATTCTCGAAATATTTTGGGGGATATTGCTCCCTCTCTCTTTATCAATTTGGATTATCAGTTGATCAGATCCTGTCGCTCAAATCTGTATCTCACCATCCAAGTTACAATCCAATCTACGTCAACTTGTGGAAAAAACAACTCCGAATATGACAAGCCCTTAAGAAATCACTCTATCTATATCCACTCATGGACAAAACTTAAGGAAGTTGTACCTTTTACCATGTATATCGGGATTCAGACAATAACTCTGAAAGATACACTCATGGACAAAACTTAAGGAAGTTGTACCTTTTAGCATGTATATCGGGATTCAGACAATAACTCTGAAAGATACACTCATGGACAAAACTTAAGGAAGTTGTACCTTTTAGCATGTATATCGGGATTCAGACAATAACTCTGAAAGATACACTCATAGACAAAACTTAAGGAAGTTGTACCTTTTAGCATGTATATCGGGATTCAGAGAATAACTCTGAAAGATACACTCATAGACAAAACTTATGGAAGTTGTACCTTTTAGCATGTATATCGGGATTCAGACGATAACTCTGAAAGATACACTCATGGACAAAACTTAAGGAAGTTGTACCTTTTAGCATGTATATCGGGATTCAGACAATAACTCTGAAAGATACACTCATGGACAAAACTTAAGGAAGTTGTACCTTTTAGCATATATATCGGGATTCAGATAATAACTCTGAAACATACACTTATGGACAAAACTTAAGGAAGTTGTACCTTTTAGCATGTATATCGGGATTCAGACAATAACTCTGAAAGATACACTCATGGACAAAACTTAAGGAAGTTGTACCTTTTAGCATGTATATCGGGATTCAGACAATAACTCTGAAAGATACACTCATGGACAAAACTTAAGAAGTTGTACCTTTTAGCATGTAATCGGGATTCAGACAATAACACTGAAAGATACACTCATGGACAAAACTTAAGGAAAGTTGTACCTTTTAGCATGTATATCGGGATTCAGACAATAACTCTGAAAGATACACTCATGGACAAAACTTAAGTAATTTGTACCTTTTAGCATGTATATCGGGATACAGACAATAACTCTGAAAGATACACTCATGGACAAAACTTAAGTAATTTGTACCTTTTAGCATGTATATCGGGATTCAGACAATAACTCTGAAAGATACACTCGTGGACAAAACTTAGGGAAGTTGTACCTTCTAGCATGTATATCGGGATTCAGACAATAACTCTAAAGATAAACTCATGGACAAAACTTAAGGAAGTTGTACCTTTTACCATGTATATCGGGATTCAGACAGTAACTCTGAAAGATATTACGGTGATCTTTATTGAAGATACACGAGATAACCAGGTGTGAACAAAATTCCTCTGTCTTCTTCAAAAAAAAAAACAAAAAAACAGACGACCAGCGGCAAAGACTTTCCACTTCCATAAGTTTTGTCAACGAGTGTAAAAGGATTTTGAGATATTTAGTGAAGAGGACGAAGGTCATTTATACCACGGTGTCTGTGGATAAAAGGTCGCAGGTCTCCTCACAAATTGAAGATATTTAAACACTTCACAACAATGGAGTTGCCTTGGAAGAAACCTTCAAAAAACCAAGTGATTGGTCAATTAAACACAAGTGTTAGGTAATCTTTCCTTTATGTTACAATTGGAGCGGTTCACGGCCTCGTGTGTTTACAGCTGAGGGGGGGAGGCTTCTCAAGTCTTGGAGAAACACAATGTGTTTGTAGATATCACTTCTATCAAATACACTCATAGGAACCTAGGTTAACTAAATAAATAAATTAAGAAAAAAAAGGCATTTCATGATCGTGCAACTGAAAGTTGCTGATGGCTTGCGCCATCTATCGGAATAAATATCAATTATTTGCTGATTTTTTAATTATTCCAGAATTGGTCAAATACCAATTTTTGATTAATAAAGAAAATCTAAAGACGGACGTGTTTCGGGCTGTTGGCCCTCATCAGCGTGGTGTAAGCTGTACCTCAACGACCAAAAAACTAGTCATTCAGGCATCCTGAAAAATCATGAAACAGTTATATAATAGCTTTCCTAAAATCCCCTCAAGACCCCCGACGAGGTCATGCTCTAGGATAATGATCCAGCTAACTCCTTGCCGATATTGGAAGCGTCATACAACAAATGTTCTAAAGGAGAGCTCAGTTTGTCGTTTTATATAGCGGGAATGTAGCTCAGTGTGGTAGAGCGTCCGCTTTGCATGTGAAAGGTCCCGGGTTCGATCCCCGGTATCTCCAGTTTTTTTTTTTTCCTTTCTTTTAACTCCTGGGCTCGAAAAATAATACACTTTGTTTAAAATTCGAAACTATTTAAAAGGCGTAAGCTTCTTTTTTTAAAATAAACAATTTCTACTGCCTTTACTGCAATGGAAAAATTAAAGGGAGGGCCTGGCTCATCAGTGGTGAACCCTCCCAGCGGTTTCGCCAGTTTAATCTACTTACTTACTTTTTCTCTCTCTTGTAGACAATTCAATATATTCTATTGACATTCTTAGTCAAATATCATAAAGATAGAGGCTGCCTGGCCGGCATTCATATTTCTTGAAAATAAAGATACTTCGGCCAGTAAATCTTTTTATTACCTCGACGTTTCGACAAAAAGCTTTTGTCCTCGTCAGGAGCAAACAAAAAGTAAAACATTTGGTAAGGCGTTAAAAATCATTCTTAGTGATTTGTTATAAAAAATCAAAGATAAATGTGATTATTTATGGTGATTAAATATTTTTTAAAAAGCTGTTCTCCAGGAGGGAGGCTCCTCCATCTTGAGAGAGTCCTCCTCAAGACAAGGACAGGATCTCTCAGTTCAATGTTGAGATGATGCTTATAGTGACATGTCTTGGTAGATGTCAGGACGTTATCATCCAGGCCTCGCCCGAAGACTCAGCCCTGCAGGTCAGTGGGCCGCCTGATGATGGTAAATGCCTCTCTTGTAGAGTATCAAAACCAAGTAGACTTAGAAACAAACGCAAGTTTTAGAGATGGGGTAGTGAGGACTGAAACATAGTGAATAGAAGTAGGAACGTTGTTTGAGGTCGGTGGAAGGCTGGTTTAAACCGTTTTCGAACGCTACGACCCGGGTTCGATTCCCGCATTGGACACTTTTTTCTGATAATAAAAAAAATGCTCCAATGGCACCCGATTCTTGCAAAAAGTCCAACCCCACCAGCAAGTGCAAGTAACCAAACGGGGCACTGGCACATTTGTAAGTGCAAAGTCGAACTGCTTTTCACATGTGTAGACATGTGGTGCGCTTACAGTAAAAGCAGTCGCTAACTACCCACCATGATTATCATGGCCTGTACCACGTGTACTAGGGATAATTTAAAAAAAAAAAAAAGGTGTCACCATGGTGACTTAATTACATATTGGATAGTCGAACATCCCGTGTACAGATGTCACCCAGTCGAGCTCCAAGGACAATCCTCGATGTACCCACCACCATCACCCTAGCGGTGACTAGGAAATGTCCTCTCCCTTTCAAACAGTTGTCCTTTTTTCAATTTTACGTAACGTTTTCCTTATCACCAGTCAGGAAGTTCAGAGTTGAGTTCCTGGTCCCTTCGTTCTCCGATATACGCGGTTACCTAACCTTCAACGTAGGTTTACAACATGGGATCTTGTCCAATTACACTCATGGACAGTACTTAAGGAAGTAGAAAGTCTTTAATATCGCCGGTCGTATGTTTTCTTGAATGAGACAGAGGCAATTTTGTTCACACTTGGTTATCTCATGTCTACAATAAAGGTCACTGTAATATCTTTCAGAGATATTGTCTGAATTCCGATATACATGCTAAAAAATACAACTTCCTTAAGTTTTGTCCATGAGTGTATCTTTCAGAGTTATTGTCTGAATCTCGATATACATGCTAAAAGGTACAACTTCCTTAAGTTTTGTCCATGAGTGTATTTCTTACAACACCGCTTGTGGTCGGAAGCTGTGTATCATAGCTGTGACATATGTGCCATAGAATGTGATATATCTGCGGACACACACACACACATTTACTAAATTGACTAGATATTTGCTAAGCGAACCCAAAATATTTCATGATAAAGCACAATTTGGGTTATAAGATTAGAACTACAAGGTAATAAGACCAAATACAACATTTCTTACTTCTATTCACTATGCTCCAATGGCCACCGATTCTTTCAAAAGTCCAACCCCACCAGGGCTCTGGCATATTTGTAAGTGTAAAGTCGAACTGCTTTTCACATGTGTAGATATGTGGTGCACTTAGAGTTAAAGCAGTCGCCTACTTCTACCCACCATAATTATCATGGTCTGTACCACCTGTACTAGGGATCTATAAATATATAATATACTTCAAGCAATTGCTCTTCCGCATATGGCAATTAAAGGTATTTTTAAAACAATATCAAAATGATGCATTAGCACGCCATCGGTTATGAAGAACAAAACTTACTCCACACATAGGTGTATACCTGTTGATTGAAGTTTATAAAATACTAAGTGAGAGAAAGAACAAGATTACACAGTGGACTCTCGATAATTGAAACTCAAGGGACCAGAGAAAATGTTCAATTTATCAAGAGTTCAAAATAACAGGAGTTTAAACAACTAAGAGGGGGGGAGGGAAAATCAAGTAAACAAGAGTTTGAAGTTTTGGCAGTTTTTGGATATACATACTATGTTTTGATACAAGGTTAATTAAGTGACTTACCGTAAGTTTTTAAAGTAATTAATTTATTGGGAGCTTTCGGGTCTTGCTCTTTCTTAAACAAGAGTTTGATTTCAAAATTCGTTATACAGTTATTCACAAATGTTCATTTGTGGTAAGATACTATCCTTTCAACTTCAAATTATTGAGAACCTATTAATATTGATTTTATTCAACTTATCGAGTATTTTTCAAGGGAATGGGAAAACATTTCAAATTATTGAGAGAACCTATTAATATTGATTTTATTCAACTTATCGAGTATTTTTTAAGGGACCGGGAAAACATTTCAAATTATTGAGAGATTAAAATTAACGAGTTTAAAATTAGAGATAAAATAGAGGTAACTCCTGGAGCATAAATCACCAACTACCCGGGCTATACAGCTACAGTCTAGTCATGGGCAGGGCTGATTGCTGAGGTGAACCAGGTAGTTCCAGGCCGGCAGGGAGTCAGGAAGTAGGGGCAGAGCTGAAGTCTTGTACTCCAAGCAGTATAGGATTAAACAGTATAGGATAGTTTCAAATTACCGAGAGTAGACTGTATATATATTAGGGGGGGAGGGAACAACTTCCCTTTTCCCTCCTGTCAAAGCGCGTACATGTCTAAAAAGAAAAATTGATTATTCCAATCTTTCCAGTAATTTTTTTCCTGGTTGAAACTTTTTTTTTTTCCTGTTAGTGTCCTTGTCGCCTTTTTTTACTCCTTCCATTATATAATGTAGGAAAACTCCTTTAAAACGTGTTTTTTGACATATATATAAAAAACGACCACGTTTAATTTCATACGTCATGAGTATGTTTGCTGACTTCTTTCTTATCCCGAGCTACCAAGTGTTGCAATATTCCTGTGATTTATTTATAAGTTGGGAACTCTCTATTTATAAATTTATTATTGAAATCTAAGAATTTAAAGTGAAATCTGTGCAATAACTAATTTAGCTACGTCTTTCCACATGTTTTATTGTCCGGCAATGAAGGAGGGAGAGACAAATTATCTGTCAAAATATTGGCTATAAAAACAAGCGGCCATATATTCTAATAGCAAAAGTATTGCAAAACAAAATCAATACATTAGCTTTTCACAAATTATGGAAAACAGAAAAGATTCCTGTGATTTATTTACGTTGGGAACACTACTTAAACATAATTTATTATTGAAATCTAAGAATATAAAGTGAATTCTGTGCAATAACGAATTTAGCTACGTCTTTCCACACTACATGTTTTATTGTCCGGCAATGAAGGAGAGAAATTATCCTTCAAAAGATTGGTTATAAAACAAGTGGCCATATATTCTAATAGCAAAAGTATTGCAAAACAAAATAAATACATTAGCTTTTCACAAATTATGGAAAACAGCAAAGATTCCTGTGATTTATTTACGTTGGGAACACTACTTAAACTTAATTTATTATTGAAATCTAAGAATATAAAGTGAAATCTGTGCAATAATGAATTTAGCTACGTCTTTCCACATGTTTTATTGTTCGGCAATGAAGGAGGGAGAGAGAAATTATCCGTTAAAAGATTGCTTATGAAAACAATTCGCAATATGTTCTAATAGCAAAAGTATTGCAAAACAAAATCAATACATTAGCTTTTCATAAATTATGGAAAACAGAAAAGATTCCTGTGATTTATTTACGTTGGGAACACTACTTAAACTTAATTTATTATTGAAATCTAAGAATATAAAGTGAAATCTGTGCAATACTTATTTAGCTACGTCTTTCCACACTACATGTTTTATTGTCCGGCAATGAAGGAGGGAGAGAGAAATTATCTGTCAAAATATTGGTTATTAAAACAATTCGCCATATGTTCTAATGGAAAAAGTAGTGAAAAACAAAATCAATGCATTAGCTTATCATAAATTATGGAAAACAGAAAAGATTCCTGTGATTTATTTACGTTGGGAACACTACTTAAACTTAATTTATTATTGAAATATAAGAATATAAAGTGAAATCTGTGCAATAATGAATTTAGCTACGTCTTTCCACATGTTTTATTGTCCGGCAAAAGAATCAATACATTAGCTTTTCACAAATTCTTGAAAACAGTACAGACAATAGGTGTAATACAATGGAAAAGTAGTGAAAAACAGAATCAATGCATTAGCTTCTCACAAATTCTGGGAAACAGTGCAGACAATAGGGGTAACACAATTGAAAAAGTAGTGAAAAACAGAATCAATACATTAGCTTTTCACAAATTCTGGAAAACAGTACAGATAATAAGTGTAACACAATGGAAAAAGTAGCTAAAAGCAGAATCAATGCATTAGCTTCTCACAAATTCTTGAAAACAGTACAGACAATAGTCACAACACAGATGATAGATCCAACTTTAAGAAAGGTCGATGTTAATCTAAACTTTGTGTAAATAACTGTTATGTTTACTTCTGTATCTGGGAGAATCCTGTATGGGACGATTGTCCTTAATAACGGCTTATTCTTGTTGTATTTAAGTTGGGAACAATTTGTTGGAGCAGCTACGAGGTATATCGTCTCTAGGTCGGTAATAGAAGACTTTCTGTCGATGTCCTACT